TTCTTCTGATTCTGAATTTCCCTATACATTAAGAAATTGATAAGGCTAATTTAATCTTCCATTCAAACATGAAAATCTGTTTACCAAAGAGCTGTTATTTGAAAGGGGTAGTATGTTTTGGCCTTCATTTAATATACATATATATTTTATTATATGTATGTATGTAAAAGAAGTAAAAGAATACCACCTCAGAAGCACATTTCTTTGCTCTAGTATCCTGTGATAATCCCATTTTAATTAGGGACAAATCCTGCTTGTGATCCAATGCACTCTCAGGAAACAAGATTCTTCAGGGTTCACTTTTATTATAATACAAGAATGAAAGAAGCATGAAGCAAGGTTAAATCACTGTATTTAAAAAAAATGTATAAATTGAGTTGAGGGTAGAATCTCACACACACACACACACACACACACACATACACACACACCTGTTCATGCTTTTTTTAAAAATACCCACAATTGGTGTCATACCAGATGGTACTTCTTTGCTGAATATTTTTGTGTATTTGTTGGTTTGCTTTTCTTCCTCACAAAGCAAAATAACACTTAGAATTTAGATATTTTTTTGAAAAGTTTTTAACCAGAATAGATATTCAGATACAGAAATTAAATAGTGCCAAATTGGCTTATGGCTAAAAAACAAACATGTAGTCTCAGAACCAATAAGGATGAATTCATTTCTCACAATTCTAAAATTGAAGAGGTAGGAAAGGAGTTATAAAAGAACCTATGACCTTCATAACCTCATAAAAGCTAAGTGAATATTACAGTATTCTTAGAGCTCTGTGTGAATTCTGAGAAAATGCAATTTAAGAGGATAAAATGGGCATTAGCTACAGGAAAATAATCCATTTTCTCAACATATTTGAACTAATAGCAAATACATCTCACTTTTTTCTTTTTCTTTTTTCTTTAATGCAGCATGAGGCTTTACTACTCTCTTTGCCAGTACCAAAATTATGATAGTTGTTATCTAGATCTTTATTGTGCATATGAAGATTTCTACTTCAACCTTAAAGTGACATCTATGAAACTTTGCCTTAGTAAGCATTGTTTCTCTCTTCCACCAGTTCTGGTCATCTGACTAAGCTAGGTGGAAGCATTATAGTCAGGGGGACTGCAGTGTCTATGGGTTGTAGATCTGAAAAGAACCTTGATAAGTTTTCTTGTTGAAAGATATAAACCCAATATTATTGCAATTAACTGCTGTGTGACCATCTAGAGTCTTGGTCCAAAAAATTTGGAGAACTGAATTCTAATGCTGGCTTTAGCACTACTTAACTTTGACAAATCCAAGCTGGGCCTCACCTTCGTATCTGAAGCAGAATACTGTATGGATACGTTTTCCCCAAGCCCACTCTAGAGGAAGTCTGTGCCTTCAGGAAATGGCACAGCACACAACTCTTTATTTTAAAATAAAAATAAAGACAGTCTTAAAGAGGAAACGGCCACAATGGGGAGGGAGGAGTAAATGGCTGAGGAACGTGTAACTCTGGGACAGGGGTCAGTAAACTGGACCCAGCAAGACAAATCCAGCCTGCTGCCTGTCTTATTTTAACAGCTAAGAATGACTTTTTAATTTTTTAAAAATACAGTTTTATTGATTTCAGAAAGGAAGGAAGAGGGAGAGAGAGCAAGAAACATCAATGATGAGAGAGAATTCGTCGGTCAGCTGCTTCCTGCACTCCACACACTGGGTATCGAGCCCGCAACCCGGGCATGTGCCCTGACTGGGAATCGAAGTGACCCCCTAGTTCAGTGATGGCGAACCTATGACACTCATTTTTTTGGATGATTTTTCTTTGTTAAATGGCATTTAAATATATAAAATAAATATCAAAAATATAAGTCTTTGTTTTACTATGGTTGCAAATATCAAAAAATTTCTATGTGTGACACGGCACCAGAGTTAAGTTAGGGTTTTTCAAAATGCTGACACGCCGAGCTCAAAAGGGTCGCCATCACTGTCCTAGTTCATAGGTCAACACTCAACCACTGAGACATGTCCAGCCGGATAACTTTTTAATTTTTATGGTTTCCTTTAGTCCAAAGAAGAATATTTTAATACATGAAAATGTTATGAAATTCAAATATCAGTGCCCATAAATACAGTTTTATTGAAACATAGCCATGCTCATTCATTTACATGGTGTAGTTGCTTTCACACTACAATAAAAGAGTTTTTTAGTCATAACAGAGACCTGCAAAGCCTAAAATATTTATTATTTGTCCTTTATGGAAATAGTTTTACAACCCTTCCTCTAAAATATCCAAGGTAGAAATGTCCAGTGGCAGTCGGAATTTAGGTTTTGGAATGATCCACAAGAAGCAATGGTGAGAGTTGATGAAATCAAGAAAGAGCAAAGAGGTCTGGAAAAAGCACCTGGTGGAAGATAACTTTTTAAAAAAATTATTTATTTTCTTTATTGATTAAGATATTACATATGTGTCCTTATCCCCCATTGCCCTCCCACCCCCCACCCTCACTCATGTCCTCACCCCCCTAGTGTCTGTGTTCATTGGTTATGCTCATATGCATGCATACAAGTCCTTTGGTTGATCTGTCCCCCTTCCCCCTGACCTCCCCTGCCTTCCCTCTGAGGTTTGATGGTCTGATCGATGCTTCTCTGTCTCTGGATCTGTTTTTGTTCATCAGTTTATGTTGTTCATTATATTCCACAAATGAGTGAGATCATGTGAGATCACTTTTGACAACTGGGAGAGGAAGGAATCCCTTAAGGGAGTGAAGAAAGCACAGTTAGAGCATGGTATGGTTCCCAAAGATAAGCAACGAGTGAGTTCAAGATGAGTTGGTAAGAGCAGACATGTCAGAGAAATCAGGTAAATTGAATAATAAAACAGTTCACCGGACTTGGTGATTAGAGATTATTGGTGGCCTCTGAGAAAAGCATTTCTATGAAACCATGTGACATTAGTCTGTTTCAAGAAGTCCAGCAGCAAACAGATTTACTCTGGATAGGAAACCAAGAAGGTATGTTGGGGTCCAGCCCCAGCAGGTCCAGGGGTTCCCAAAGTTGTGGACGGAGTAGGCGAAGAAGGAATGACACGGAGGCAGCGTTCAGGTGATCATCATAGCCAGGTTCTGTGTTTTATTGTCTGTGTTTATTGTCTTTTCAGATTTAAATGCCTTTTTCATTGCCTGAAGAGTTTGACTTTTTTTTCTCTCCTTGTTTTTCTCATTTGGATAAGGAGAATCACATGGATTTTCACTTTTGTGTTTTTAAACCGCCACTGTTACGTTTTCTTCTTTTCGCCTCTTGGTTAAGTCTGGTAGCACTTTCCGGTCATTGTTTGAGTGATGCCGTTTCTGACCTTTTCTGTCCTTTTCATCTTTTTTCTCTCTTTCTCTGGATCTTTCCCTTGACTTGTCCAATTCTTTCTTGTCTGTTTCTCTCTCCTTACTCTTGATTAGTGGTGAAGGAGTATGAATAAGGTACAGCTTTGCTGAGGACTCCTTGAGTTCGATGAGACTGTCCTTTATTGTGGAGGTATGTGATGGAGAAGGGTGTATATCAATTTTACGGCGTTTTTGTTCCCTTTCAGGCTCAGTAATATCTGATCGGGGAACAGGTGACTTCAAGGGCCCAGAAACTGGTCTTTTTTCTCCTCCTTTAACATTTTCTTTTGATTTTATTTCCTTTGCTATATCTCTTTCTCTGAATGACTCCTTCTCTATTTCCTTTTCTTGAGTCAATTTTGATTCTATGTTGG